CCTAATAATAATGCAAACATTTCAAAAAGAAAATAATTAAAAAAAACTAACCCTCGTTGGTTGATTTGGTTGATTTTCCATTTCTGATTGTGAGGGTGGCTCTGAGAGATGGAGATAGACGGATTTCGTCGGAGATGGGGACGGATTTCGTCGGAGATGGGTGAGAGAGTGAGAGATGGAGATGGGACTGAGTTGTGATTTTAGGTTTTAGGTTATGAGTTGCGATTACGGGATATACTGTGGACGGTTCAGTGTTCCAATATATTAATATTCGTGTTTGGAATTTAAAAATAAAATACTTGGCCAGGATACTAATGGCACTTTGAAAATCGCATTGCGATTATGTATTATCGCGTTGCGAAAGTCAGTATCTCGTTGCGATTTTTGTATTATCGCATTGCGATAGTAAGTATTGCATTGCGATAGTCAGTATCGCATTGCGATTTTCCTAATTCGCGTTGCGATTTACTTATTCGCATTGCGAATTGGGAAAATCGCAACGACACTGTAGACCATCGCAATGCGATTTCCAACTATCGCAACGCGAAATGCAACGCGAATTTGCGATAATGGAGATCGCGTTGCGAATCAGCGATCGCATTGCGATTTTGTTGGTCATTTTGGCAAATCCGGAAAAAATTGGTTAAAATCGTATATTATATGGGATTTTTGGTCACTGAGGCGATTTTCTCATTACATAATGAAACCTTGAACAATTCACTATAAAATAGATGTATAACTATTTTCGTAACTTAAATCCGAAAATTGTAAAGATTACCAACGGATTAAAAATACGTAATAATTCTTTTCATAATTCTAAAGAGGTGAAAACATATTTCATATTTATAGAGCCACTATTCACAAACTTCTTAAACAACTAATACAAACCCATCAATCAGATCTCAAAATGGAAAGAAACTGCAACTGGATATGATAATTTCCAAGGAAAAGTAAACAAACAGCAGAAGAAGATGAAGAAGAAAAAAAGATGTATTTTTGTTGGTAGTGGAATGAGAAGTCTTGAAAAAGCAAACCTTAGAAAGAGTTCTGTTCCAAACAGTGACTTTGAATCCATTGTTAAGCAAGTTCATGGACATGGCTTTTCCCATTATTCCCAATCCCAACAACCCTACCTCCATCTTCTTCTTCTTCTTCTTTCACACTTCATGTAAGCCTACCTATATAAATACCAAAAGCAAAGCATAGAGCATTGTTTTAGCTCGATAAAATCACTATCATCCTTGTCACCCCCATTGATATTTTTAATATAATCAATTTGCTTTGATTATTACCTTGATAGTGTATGGTAAATTAAATATTTCCATCTTTGGAAATTAACGTGTTGTCGTTTAGTGGAAAAACGGATGCGTTTCTACGTAAGCCTACGATGGCAGGAAAATCATGCTTCAGATCTTTTTTTTTTAATTAAAATAACACTGAAAATATTATTTCTTAATCCAACATCTTTTTAGATTATTTTCGCGGCTCACCCGGTCAGTATGGAGTTCCTTTCATTTGTTTAAGGTATGTTAATGTATTACAACTATTTGAAAGAATGCCCAATAGCTTATGAGTTCATGTTATATGTTATAATGATGTATGATGACATATATTGATACATGGATATGTTATGTGTCTATTAGTTATATGTTGATGTGAGATTATGACATGAGAAGTTGTCATATTAGTGTATATGTATATGTTGCAATGACATATAAATTGGCTTTTTAGATTATATTAGTGAAAGTGATCTTGTATGAAATTTAATTGGTTAGCTAAAGGAATTGTGCATTATTTTATTCACTTCTCATCAAAAAGTCTCAACTTTCATCATATGAGAAATTTATAGTCATATATACCAAGAAGACTTAAAGAAATAATGAACTCATTATTGAATGCATGTACTTACCAGATTTGCTCCACTTCCACCTTCACTATAATCTCAAATTCAGCTTTCTTCCTATATAAATTGACCATTTCTTGAATAAAAGGTTTACCGTTCTTGAAATTATACGGGGAGAGATGAGTATAGTTTACAAAACATTTGCAGGTTCTTAACAAATACTTATCTGCTATATCGATCAACAAAAAAAGTGTCAATAGGGTTGCATTGGCTAAATTTTTTTTTTTTTGGAGTATGGAGAGAAATGATAGAAAAATTGCATAAGTATTTAGAGTGGTTCAACTTCCTCAATAAAGTTTACACCCACTACCTTAGTTCCACACTGAAGATTTCTAACAAATTCACTAATTTACTTTTTCTTTTTCTAGGCTTAAGAGTAATCTTTTACAGCTCCCTAGTTTTCAATGGCTAAGCTAGAAATCAACCCCTTTTTCAAAATGGATAAAAAGATTATAAACAAGAAATCTCTCAAAGGAATGTGTTTACAAATTAAGCTCACTAAAAACATACTATTTATTTTATATGTTGGAATGTGTTTGTGATCGTTTCTAGTCGTTAGGGATGTTTTGGAGCCGTTGAGGACTTAATTGTTGAAAAATAAAACCGTTGAGACCAAGGAGTATCAATACTCGGGCTTGGAGTATCGATACTGCACTAATAAAAACTAGCCGTTTTTTCAACCGTTGGGCTGGGAGTATCGGTAATGAGGTCATGGTATCGATACTATTATACAAAGTAGTATCAATACTCCTTTAAGTATCGGTATAAAAAATGTCTACTTGAATCTGAACACATTTAAAACAAATAGGCAGTATCGATACTACCATTAGAGTATCAATACTTCCCTTACCTTGGGTATCAATGCTACAAGAACAATATCGATATTGTTCATGTAGTATCGATATTGTAAGAAGAGTATTGATACTTCTTTTCTTTTCTAGAAAACTTTGAATAAATTCAATTTAATCCAAAAATAATTTTGCCCTTAAAATTGTTATATCATAACAGGCTTAACATTGTCAACGTAGGGTCGTATATGGGTCACAGGTTATAGGTTTTTATGTGTGGGTCCTTGTTTTTCCCCTCTTGTTCGGACACTTCCACTTTTAATAAAAGCTTCAACAAAATTTAACAATGAAATATTTGAGGTATACATGTTAAAATTAATTTTATTTATAAAATATATATTAAAATTATGACATTCATAATGGTAATGTTTTATGAATACTGTTAGTGTTAAATGCATGTCGATGATATTATATATGTGAATATAATTTATTATGGAATCTTATTGATTAACAAACATAATCACTTTATGAATAACTTAGAATATGTAGTGGGAATTATGATTAAGTGTATTTTATTTCGTTTCTCATAATTTGTATTGTAAGCACCACAAGTATAAATAATCTTCGCACGTAAGAAATTGAATTCAAATATTTAATATTATGTTTTTAGAAAAATATAAAAAAATAATTTCATTTCATTTTTATTTTGAATCTCGAATATGATAACTTTTAGATTAGATAAACAAGTGATCAAAAGATTCAAACATAAAGAACAAAGAGTTATAGGAGAAAACACCCTACGAGATAAGGGCATCAATGTCCCAATTTGTTATTACTTAGAATTTGCTATTTTTCCTTTTAATTAAATTTATTTTCAACTATAACAAAACGAAATATTGACAAACCTGTGGTGTATATCCTCCAATGTTTTCTTCCTCTGCCTCAAAATAAACTAACAACAAACAAAACCCAGAAACCTTCTATAAAAATTTCTCAACTATGTCTATATATGAAAATGGCGGTATTGAGGACAACACCTATTGGCTTCTCAAGCTTTCCTTGGTCAACCTCATCTCTCAGTTCCAGCTCCAGGATCACCCCTTCTTCATTGCCTTCCTCACAATCAATGGTTACTTCATTACTTATTTCTAGGAATTATACCTATCAAGTGTTATTCATGAATCTTTACATCCGCAGGTTGGGGCCGGGAAATCAATTATTTCCCGCGGATGTGTCGCCTGTTCCGCTGTTCAAGAATCTTCTTCTCCTACAGGTAGTTTTTCCCCATTGTTGTATGTGCCTGTGAAAATCCTTCTCAACTTTAATGTGTTGGCTTTTCTGTTACGTAGCCACTGCTAAAACAAATGCATCAACAACCCCTGCTGAAGCAAAGCTGTAACACCCCTAACCCGTACCCGACCCGAGTACGAGTCCGAGATGTGACATTACCTTTTTAAAATAATTTTCCTTATAAAATAACAAAATATTTGAACTGTATCTTTAATTCTTGCAATTCTTTTGGAGCCATTCTGTATGGAGCCATAGTAATAGGCGCAGTTCCAGGCATTATTTCAATATGGAATTCTACCTCTCTGTTTGGAGGCAAACCTGGTAATTCTGCAGGAAATATATCGGGAAACTCTGTGACTATAGGAATTTCTTCAATTCTTTTCTCCTTGGTTCTAATATCCAACACATTAGCAATGAACCCTTGACATCCCTGTAGCAGTAACTTCTTTGTCGTTATCGCGGAGATTACATTTGCCAATGGATTCCACCCTTCACTAAACACCACGACTTCTACCCCTTCCGGACTTTTCAACATTACTCTTTTCAATCTACAATCCACATTCCCATAATAACGAAACAACCAATCCATTCCCAGTATCACTTCAAATTCATCGATGGGTAATTCCATCAAATTAGCAGGGAATTCAATTTCCTGAATCCGTATGGGACATCCTCGACATACCAAATTCACACTAGCACTATGCCCTAATGGATTTGTCACTATTACTTCATTATTAGTGGCTTCTAGCGGAATGTTCAGTTCTCTAACTAACTTGCTACTAATGTATGAGTATGTAGATCCCGGATCAATCAATACCATAACATGTTTATCAAACTGTAAAAAGGTACCTGTTATTATCTCTGGATCATCCCGGTCTTCATTGGTTTTGAGATTATACACCCGAGCAGTAGAGCGAACTTCCTGCTGAGTAGAGGATTCATGTTGAGTTCTACCTCTTCCTCTACCCTGTCCCCTCTGGGACATTGAAGCAGACCTCTCCTGTGGAACAGACTCTTCTACCCTCAAAGGACAGTCTCTCATAAAATGTCCTGTTTCCCCACATCGAAAACAAGCTCCTGTTTTAACTCTGCATATTCCACTATGGTTTCTTCCACAGATCTGACACTGCCCAACTTGACTCTGTTGTGCTCGCCCATCACCAGTCCCCACAGATTGAGTTCGTCTAGCTCTTTCTTGATTCGATCCTCTAGCAGAGGATGCCACTGATTCAGATCTTGTTTGATATCGAAAACCAAAATCTCTACCTCTCTTTGGTAGTGTAGAGCTTGATGAAGCTCCAGTTCTTTTGGATGGTAGAGCTCTCTGCTCCCCAAACCGTTCATTCTGCGCTCTCTCTAGAGCTTTAGCACGATTTACTACTTCTTGGAATGAGGACAGATTCAATACAATCAACATTTCTTTTAGCCTTGGACACAAGCCCTCAACAAACCACTCACAGGAATCTTTCTCTGTAGGCACCAACTCTGCTGCAAAGCGACTTAACTTATTAAATTCGCACTCATACTCATATACAGTGCGATTCATTTGTTTCAAATTTAAAAATTCTTGCTTCATTTGCTTGATGAATTGGTCTCCTATATACTTATGCCGAAACTCTTCCAGGAACAGAGACCATGTCACTTGATCACTGGTCATCCTCAAAGTGACATTTGTCCACCAAATTCTCGCTTGCCCACGAAGTAAAGAGACCACCCCGTCCAACTTCTCCACATCAGAACAGTGGAGTCATTCTAACATAATTTTCACATCATTAAGCCAAAGGTCCGCAGCAACAGGACCTTCCTCGGCTTCACCTTTAAACTATGGAGCTCCTAAACCCTTCAACTCCTTTGTAACATTCATTTTTGGAGTTGAAGTAACAGGAGGTTGGAAACGCGTCAATACTGCATCTAACGTTCTAAAGAACATATCATGATCAGCTACAGGCACTCTAGAAGGTGTCTGTTCTTCACCTTGCCTGGCCAGGGCAGGTGAATTACTACTTTCAGCGGGTTGATCATCTCCCGCTTGACTTTGAGAACTATCATGTCCGGACATCTATTAAAAATAAACATATCATTCTATTAGCAAAACAACATACTCATTATCATACCAGATCAGAAGTTTTCACTATTTTGTTGGCATGTATACATTATAAAACACTATAGACTTCGGTTTATACCGAGAATCGACTAAACCTTGCTCTGATACCATTAAATGTAACACCCCTAACCCGTACCCGACCCGAGTACGAGTCCGAGATGTGACATTACCTTTTTAAAATAATTTTCCTTATAAAATAACAAAATATTTGAACTTATTTTAGGAAAATAAGATAATATATTATTAAATTATATTCAGTATAAAATTTTGAGGTAAAAAAATGTATTTGCGAACAATAAAATACATATAAACAATAATCTGCTACAGTACCGTGAACAGTAACCTACTACAGTACCCGAAATGTTAAATTTTCCAGTTTACAAATAGGGAATCGATTCCCCTGCTACAGGGAACCTATTCCCCTGCTACAGTACTGCTACAGTACTTCCGTAAAAATGTACATAAAATTCGTAAAAATTCAACCGTTCATTACTATACACTTATATAATTACATTCAAAACATTAGAAAAGTCGATCAGAGTGTTCGTAACTAACAACTTATTACATGCCAACATACTTTATACAACTAAAATACATACTTTGTTGTTTACTTCTGATTTGATCCCCTAATGATGGTATGCTGCGTTGCTGCTCTTAAGATCGATCTTCTTACTTTTCTGTACCTACGCATAAATCACTTACACGCTAAGTCATAGACTTAGTGAGGCATATAAATATAATGATGATGTATTCCTTATAAATATGAACATGTGATCTATCCATTCAATGATCTAACATATAACAATAATAATGCAATTACCTTTGATAACATTCTATAAGCCCATGTACATTACTGAGAACTCAAGGTATTCGAGTACATTGAGGTTGTGCACTATTGCTGTCACCACAGCTCGTATAAGTCCCACTGAGTGGCATATGAAATTTGTCCCGAAGGACCTGTGAATATGTCCCGAAGGACCTATGAGTTGTCCCGAAGGACCTATGAAACCCTCGACTCTTGGCATGCCAACTATACCTATAGCTCTCATATCGTATACTATGGGCATCATTATTATATTTCATATGTCCATGTGCTCATGTCACTTATCATATCACATATACATTTGAATTTATTCACAGATATCATTTATCAAATCATATGAGCATTTATACCTTATGCATGTATCATAATAATTATCATGTATGCATGTTCATAACTATTGTTCTATAAAAATCAACATAGGATTAGACTTATCCCAAGTCTTATTCCATTGTACTACCCTTAAAATAGGCACTCACCTTGGCCTCGCTTTCGTTGTTTCAATCCTAACTCTTCGATTGTTCCGGAATAGAATTACGTTTTATATCTACATAAACATAATTTTCAAGATATTTATCAGAAGCCTAACCCTTGTAATTTGATACTAACAACTTAAACTAATTTAATAAACCAAACTTCAACATTTTCTTTTAGGGGGAATCGATTCCCCCCAGGGGGTATCGGTTCCCTCTGCATAATATGAAATTTTACTATTCAAACCCGAAGATCATCAACTCTTCACTAAATTTCTCAGACAAGGTTCCTTTCATACCACCAAACTTAACTACAACCATTTTAATTAACTTCTATCAATTCCAATACTTTAAAATCTCTCATGCTTCATTCAAATTCTTAAAGCTAAAAATCATACCCAATTTTCAACATGTTTTAAATCCAATTCTAACACTCCATATTCCTTAATTAACTTCTTGACAAGTCAAAAATCTTATTCTAACTTAAAAAATCATCCATATCAAAATTTCATCTAAAAACTCATTTTCCAAATCTATCTCTAAAACACTTATCTTGTTGTCTTAATGTCATATAAGCTTTCCTTTAGCTTATATAACATCCAAACTTCAATTTCCAAGCTAAAAATCAAAGAAACGACCAAGGTTCTGATTCTTACCTTAAGCTTGGGTCTTCACGTTTGGAAGAAGAGAAGAGTGAAGAAGATAAGAAATAAGGAAGAAGAGATGAGAGAAATCTGGAAACATTTGTTTCCTACTCAAGCCCCACGTGGGTTATAATATAACCCCATCAAAATTCTTAATTATAAATTTTCCTTGCAAATGACCAGTTTGTCCTTTAATTCATTTCATATTTTACTAACAATTATTTTTAAACTATTTAATTATTCTACTTTAATCACCAAATTCTGAATTTTTACAATTTAGTCACTAACCCGTTATTTGGGATATTACAAAAGCTGTCAGCCGTCGTAGGTGGTAGTGTGGAGGAAGAGAAGGCGGCCCCAAAAGCAGCTCCGGCAAAGCCAAAAGCAGGTGCAAAGGCTCCAGCTAATGCACTGCCGGAGTAGATGTTGGAGGAAGTCATCCCTTCATTGAAAACAATACTTGAAACTCAAGATGATATCTCTGAAATCGACGTCACTTTCCAAGACAACAAGGTATTCTTTCTTTCTGCTCTATTTTCACTAGTCCATGTGAAACCTTATCTGATGGGGTTTATGGACAGTTGGAAGGTTCATTCATGAAGGAGGGCTGTCCCTACTTGTTCTGGGCCTTCTTCCCTGATGGTGTCCTTACAGATATTATAATTTGGACAAAATTGGAGACAGATGATCATTTCCATTTACTGCGGTAATGATTTGATTATTTTCCACCATTTGCATAGGTCCAAAAGGTTTCTCCTTGTCTTCATATGGTTCAGAGCAAGCATTGTTGAGCCATTTCTTGTTGATGAGAAGAAAATTACAGCGAGGCATGTACTTTTCTGGATTGAAAAACGTTTGGCTGCCCAAGGAATTATCCCCGTCTGGAAAGACTTGACTTTTTATACCATAGTCTTATTGCTATGTAACACTTAATTCGCTTACAAAATTTTCCAATTCATTTCAGCTAGAAAAAAGAATTATCACTCCCACCATGATGTAAATCCTCAAGCTGTAATAATATATGGTTAAGAATGGCATTACAGGTTTAATTTCTGAATTAACAAAACAACTCTGGTTCGTTTCAGCAGTTATTCTTAGGGATGTGAATTAAAGAGCCGAGTCTAAGTATTGTTGAACTTGAAAAAAAATTCATAGTTGAATTCAAGTTGGAATTTTATGAGTTTAAAATTGTCAAGCTTGACTCAAACTCAAAATAAAAAATTAAAGTCTCGAGTTCAAAAAAAATTAAACTCAAAACATTCTCAAACTTAACTCAGTAAAGCTCGGATTGAGTTCAATCTAAACTTTAAATACATGAAAAACTTATACTACATTCTAAAAAACAACAAAATAAAATTGTTAATATTATCAATAATTTAATTTAAAAAATTAAAAATTTATTATATATTGTAAAATTATAACATATATATAATACTATATGAGTAGATAACAATATTTTATTAAGCATGTCTTACAAGTTTGTAGGTAATCCTTTTATAGGCTACAAATCTATAAGTTATTAAAACTATATGTTACAACATTTACACCTTAAGTTATCATACATTTAAGTTTAAGTATGAAAGATGAAACATCCATATTAAATATTATTTATAACACTCCCCCTTGGACGTTCCTTAGTAAAAATATATACCTCGTTAAAATCTTACTAAGAAATTTTTGAGGGGCAAAACCTAGTAAAAGAAAGAGTACATCATTCTTTAATACGCATGATCTACTGTCTCATTAAAAACATTTCCAAGAAAACATAGTGGGACAAAACCATGGGTAAGGGAAAAAGTGTACAACGCATATTTGCTCCCCTCATGAATGTACATGAAAGATCTCTTAAACGGCATAATCAAATGTTGAAAATTAACTTTTCTAATGTACTCGCATGAAGTGCCTTAGTAAATAGATCTGCTAAATTTTTCACTTGAACAAATCTGTTAGACATTAATTTCCTCATTCTTTTGTGGATCATGAGTAAAAAAGAACTTCGATGAGATGTGTTTTGTTCTATCACCCTTTATGTATCCTTCTTTGAGTTGGACCAAACAAGCATATTTAACTCGAGTCAAACCATTCGAATTAAATGTTGACAAAACTTTAATCAAATTGAACTCAATCAACTTACAACCTGTCATTCTCCCTAAAAACACACATCGAGATGAAACCTGTTTTACAAGAACAAAAGCTCACATTTGATGAGAGAGATGTGAATCCACCAAAAACCGTACAAGTCCAACAACAACATACCTCTATCCGATTAGTCTCGTAAAAGGAGAGAGAATTGCTAAGTAATATAACATTACATAGCTCGTAACATTTTCATCTAAATTACATGTCCAAGGCGCCATGCTTTACATTAAATAACATCATGGCCCAAATCAGTAACATTTGATTTGAGTAAATAATGAACACATGCCACAGGTACCTTCGAGTGCAAAGTTCCTAAAGTACCTCATAGGTTCACATCCGCATTTGCCGCACTTTGTCTGAAGTTAGTTGTCAGCATTGGCATTTTGAATTACACGATGAAGATCAGGTAAGAAATCCATCTGTGAGTTTGATGAAGGTCTAATAGTGTTTGTTGGGGACATCATCTAAGGAAAAACCAAGCCAAATGCACAAGGAAAGAAGGCAGTGAGATTTGGAAGAAAAAGAAGACGAGGTGGGGAAGTACGTGAGGGGAGAATACCTGATGGGGAAGTCTGAAATTCCTCCAGGCTGAATCACTACTTCCAGAGTACACAACAGGTCTTTCTGAACCAAGGAGAACCACAGTAAGACAAACAATCTAGTGTGGCCCTTTAACTCAATAAATGAAGAAGAAACTATCCACCATTACATGAGAATGGAAACAAGGGCATATATAAGGCGAAACAAAAGAATACATAAAAATGAAAAGAAAAAAAAGGCATGAAAGGATGCTAAGATGACAATCCCAAAAGCCTCTAAAGAACAGGCAGCAAACACAGAACTGCTTACACTAAAATCTAAAAGCAACTTTCAGCTCATTGCTAGCTTTCTTTAACATCTTACTATCAGTGGAACAGAACGGGATAGGAGGAGCTAGAGGAAATTATTTTAAGAAGATTCATAACCCATACCTGGGATGAGGAACCTTTGCACATGTTTTCAAAACAATGTTTATACAAAAATGATGATTCATCCACTAGCATAGCTCAAATCCCGCCTGTTAGTGCTACAGCTTGAATTAACTTATAGCCCAAAATTGATCCTCCAATATCTTAATATTCATTGGACAGCTTCAATGATAATGTTGAAATGCTAACAATCTGGTTGATGCAGGAGCATCAAATTTAATTTAATTATTTCAAGTTTGTTTGTTTTTACATTAGTTTTATTTAAGTCCATTATTATTTATTATAAAAAAAAGAAGACTATTATTATTATTACTATCATTTAAACAGTAATGTGATTAGCATAGGACTCTTAATAAGAGTTCTAGTATAACTATTCTACTAGAAAGCTAATAGGACTGCAAGAGTTTAATTATAAATATTCTACTAGAGGATTTTATTAGGATCAGTTTTTATTTGTTATCATTAAGAGTGTTTTAATGAAGTAGGTTGCTGGAAAATCACAGAGCCGTTTTTTATTCCCATTCAATTATGTCTGTCATCTTCTTTCAATTTTCTTAGCTATTTAGATTTCCCCCTCCAAATAATCAGAGCTTAATTAGATCCCAACGTTTATAGTAGAGACCACTTTTTAAGCCATGGCAAGATGCAGTATAAGTTTGGAGGAAATCAAGGCCAGCAAACAGAATTGTAGGAAATTTGGTGCATGATTGAAAAATTGTAGCAGGCCAACGCATGTAGAAACCCAAATGAAGATTCCAAAAACTGCCCACAATCCTTTGGACAAGCTGGAAGCTGGTGTTGAAGGTGAATTTGATGAAAGAGAGGCTGATAGCTCTTTTCATAATGCATTATGCTAGACCTACAAATTTTACATCAAGGGGTGGATTGGACGGGTGGTTTTTGCATTCCCTAGAAGTGAGTAGTTGAGTGAAGATCCAAGTGGATGATTTCCAGGGGAAATTACAGGCTGAAGACTATCTGGACTAGGAAGCCACAATAGAAAATTATTGAGAGGTGTAAAGGGAAGAGAGTTGAATAACAGTGATAACATCATGGATAGCCAAAAAACAATTGTTGGGAACATATGAAAGGGAAGATGTGGAAACAATTTCAGCCAGCAGATTATGCTATGAAACTTTATTGAAAATTTAATAGTCTGTCCATTAGAGTTAGTTTGAATGAGACTATTGCACAGCTAACAGCTTGCTATCTTGCAGGTTTACATTAGAGTATTGGAGATGAAATGGAGGTGGCTAGTGTCTATATTTAGAAGATGCTCACCAATATGCCTTACAAGCTGAGAAGCGAGTTTTGTCTTATGGTTATGGTGCAAGTAGACCTTTATCTAGTAGGGAAGATGGCATTTCCAGGGCAGTTAATGTGGTTTAGAAATTGCTTCTTCAAGCAAGCTCTATGGTGGAAATGCAATAGAAACCAACAAAGGTAAGGAAGAGTGAGAGACAGGGTGAAACAGAATCCAACTTTAGTAAGGTAAACAGTGGAGCTCGTGTTCTTTGTGATTCTTAAGTATGTGAAGCCATTATTGACAGTGGAAGTACGGAAAATTATATCTCCAATTAGCTGGTGCACATAATCTAGTCACTAAAACTATAACCTTCTTATCATGCAAATAATGTACAACTACAAGATTCGCTCCACAGAAAGGATCACCAAGCCAATCAAATCAAACTTAAAATGTGAAATTTTATATGTTTCCTATTCTTCCACTCACCAGACAAATCAATAGATGTATCATGATAGCGATCTAACGCAGCTGCCCAACCTGCATTTGTAGAGATAAGCAATGAATGTATATCAGCCATATGATTGCATGCACGGTATCTTAAAAACGTTTTAAAATTCTATCTAACAAAGGTTATACTACTCAAACAAGAAAAAAGAAGAGACATCGTACGATTGCTTAAAAGCCGAGAAGCATCACTTCTAGAACAGCCTTCTAAAGGTATTAAACCAGGACGACGGTGGTCTTCATTCAAGATAGCGCTGCTCCCAGAATCCCCAACCAGATTATTGTTTCTCACGACACCTTGAATCTTCTCTGAATCATTCCCATAAACATTGTTAGTCGAATCAAACCAATCTGAAAGGTTTAATTATAACTCAGTCTACCAAATGAACGAAAATTAAAATCATTCCTATATATAGAAACCACCAGAAAAAATGAATGATTAATGATTGATGAAGAAAATGACCTCCAGATTTACGGCGCTCGACAGAACGATTTCTGCAATTTTGAGGCAGAATTTAAGCAAAAAAGAAAGAAAGAAAAAAAGGAGAGAAAGGGAAACGGAAGCTGTTAATGAAAGAAGGAGGGGGAGGTTAGGGTTAAGAAGTCACCGTTGATTAGGAGGAGCGTAGCGTTTTATTGCAGGGGCGGCATCAGGTGGGGTGGGTGTAGGGTTTTCCAACATCCTCCTCTCCTCTCTTTTCCTTCACACCGCCGCCTAAGGATGGGGGATTGCAGATTCCGGAGTTTGAATCGCGATTGCGTCGCGGCAGGTAATTTAAGGTTGACTTTTTCGTTCAAAAGCGTTTCGCTGCATTTTATTCGATCAACCCCTCACCAAAACGCCTCCGTTTCCTACGATTACCAAATTCCCATACAACCCAAAGCCCACCCAAGTCTAACCCAAGAAAGAAGAAAAGTTAAAAATCCGATATTTATTGTTTTTCTATTTATTTAAATGCCATTCATTTATTTTATTAAAAAATGTTAAAACATAATGAAAATATAACTCAACTTTCTTAGTAAAGAGAAATGTATATACATGTATACATTATCCATTGATTAAAAGTTCATCAATAAATATAATTTTATTAAATTTTAGATAAATATTTTGTCATCATTAAAGTTTTAAAAATTATAAAATAATCACTAATATGATTATTTTATAACAAATTATTCTTTAATCGTTACCAGTTATTATAGTAGTTAAATAAAACAGATGTGACCTATTTAGTTAACTTATTTGTAGAAATCTGTAATATATATTAAAAGATTTTTTTAACCATTAACAATAAATAGTCATGCCCTTTTATATATATATCGAAGCTGAAAATTAAAAGGGTAATAATGAATTTTTAACCAATCCAGATTTGTTTGGCTTGAGACCTGACCGAGAATCAACTAGGGAAAAGAGCAATGGTTGAGAGGCAGCCAAGTGGAATTGGAGATTCATTTGTCAACTACATGCACAGACCACGTCATCTCTTATCCATTTTAATCCAACCATGTATTACGTGTACAATCCTTGTTGGAGAAGCAGAAAACCTGATATCCCCCACCAGGATTTCATATCCCCGTGACACTTATTTCCAGCCTTGTTTTGTCATTTTGAATGCTGCCCTCACTCAGCAACAAGGCAAAGGTCTTTCGGTTGCAAAGATGGCAGCACATGCGCTTGTATCATCGTCCCTCACCTACTCAGTTGAGACTGCAAGGCAGATTCTTGGAGCTAAACCACAATTTGGCTCTTCAAGGAAAGGGTCTTTCCTTGTCAAGGCAGCTTCCACTCCCCCCGTTAAGGTCAGGTCTCATTCTTTAACCACAATCTCTCGGTTTTTTTTAATATAATGGAGTGATTTAAAGATAATATCTATTTTGAATATTTCTTATTAATTGACAACGTATATACATCTTACTTAAATTCGAGATTCTAGGAGAACAACATTTCTTTTGTATATGATGATTGTTTATGTCTTGGTTGTTGACTTGTGGGATAGGTTTTGATGACCTTGTTGATGTGTTTTTTTTTTTCAGCAAGGAGCTGATAGACCCTTGTGGTTTGCATCTAAACAAAGCCTTACATACTTGGATGGAAGGTAAAAGGAACTACAGACACACTGGTGCAAGAAATTTACTATATCTTGATGTGAATTATGAGTGATTTGATTTTTGAATTGAACAGCCTTCCAGGTGATTATGGGTTTGATCCATTGGGACTATCGGACCCTGAAGGTACAGGAGGGTTCATCGAGCCTAAATGGCTAGCCTATGGTGAGATCATCAACGGGCGTTACGCCATGTTGGGTGCAGTTGGTGCTATTGCCCCTGAAATTCTAGGGAAAGCCGGTCTCATCCCTGCAGAGACAGCTCTCCCTTGGTTCAAAACCGGTGTGATCCCGCCGGCCGGAACATACAACTACTGGGCAGACCCTTACACATTGTTCGTGTTTGAGTTGGCTCTCATGGGATTCGCAGAACACCGAAGGTTCCAAGACTGGTACAACCCGGGTTCCATGGGGAAACAATACTTCTTGGGGTTCGAGAAGTACCTAGGAGGGTCTGGCGAGCCGGCATACCCCGGAGGACCACTGTTTAACCCGCTCGGTTTCGGGAAAGACGAGAAGTCGTTGAAGGATTTGAAGCTGAAAGAGGTGAAGAACGGGAGATTAGCTATGTTGGCAATACTGGGGTACTTCATACAAGGGCTGGTGACGGGCGTAGGGCCATACCAGAACTTGTTGGATCACTTGGCTGACCCTTTCAACAACAATGTGTTGACAAACCTCAAGTTCCATTAGATGAAAGTGATCTGCTTTGTTCCATCTCCAAATCTATTTCTTGATAAATTTGTAAATTTATTCTGTTATTTGCGATAAAGAACTGAAACAGACTTTTGTTAATGCCTCTGTAACGTCTTGAGTTCCTTTTCATCTCTGTTGCTGAATGAGATATGCACATACATGTAGGATGTGTCGAAGGTGATTGACGGGAACGATGATCTTTAAATTATTAAATAATTTTTATATTTTTATATTTTCAAGAAATTTTAAATTATTAAATATTTTATATTATTTTATATTTTCTAGTGATAATATGTTTTATTTAAACATTTGTAAGTTTATCTTTTAAAATTTTATAAATTTAAAATTTTCTTAATTAATTGACAATACATATATATTCTATAAATGTATATGTTCGGAATCTAAAATTTTTAAGGTAAAAATCATTATTTTTTACTACTAAGGTTATCTAATAAATTATTTTGAATTGTTTATTTATAGAAAAACTTACCTGCTCCTAGGGAGGATCCCAACTGTTTATATCCGGGCGATTCGTGATATGTACTGTAGATCTACTACATACGTCAGGACTACAGTTGGCGATACCGAGGCTTTCCCGGTGGAAATCGGACTCCATCAGGGGTCGACACTTAGCCCTTACATCTTCGCCTTGATTATGGACGACATCTATTGTGCGACACCAGACGGTGTTCCATGGTGCATGCTTTTCACTGACGACATTGTCCTAGTTGCTGAAACAAAAACTGAGCTGAATAGTAGACTGGCTACCTGAAAGATTGCTTTGGAAGAAAAAGGTCTAAGAATCAATATTGAAAAGACAGAGTATTTATGTTCAAACTTCAGTGGGAACCAAAACGATGAAGATGTAGATGTATGCATAGAAGGACACGTTCTCCCCTCAAGGGATTGTTTCAAGTACCTAGGGTCTATGTTACATAAAGATGGGGGTATAGATGATGACGTTACACACCGTATAAAGGCGGGATGGCTAAAGTGGAGGGCTGCTACTGGAGTTTTATGTGACAAGAATGTGCCTCTAAAACTTAAGGAAAATTTTTATAGAATGGCAATAAGACCAGCGCTGCTATATGGATCAGAATGTTGGGCAATCAAGAAGGATCACGTAAGGAGGATGGAAGCCGCAGAAATGAGAATGCTTCGATGGGCATCTAGTAAGACTCTGTGGGACATGACACCAAACTCTTCTATTATGATGTCCTTGGGGGTGGTGCCTGTATCCGAAAAATTGAGGGAGGGAAGACTACGGTGGTTTGGGCATGTCCTTAGGCGACAACCGTCGGATACGGTCAGGAGGGTAGAGTCGATTACAGTCGACGGTGGCAGAAGGAGAGGATGACCAAGGCAGAAGTGGGAAGACTGCTTGAGATCTGATTTGAAGGATTTAGCCCTAACCGAGGACATGACCTCTGATAGGAAATTATGTACACTCAAGACTAGGGTAGCCGAGTAGTGCGGGTCACATCCATAGGGTGTGTCATCTCTGCCTTCTTTTAATGCCTTTGCAGTCATTTACATGACTTCTACTTTTATATGTTTCTGTCATTGGAATTTATGAAAGCTTAGAACTAGGATAACAGAGTAGTGTTGCCTTAGTTTAGGTCTTATCCCATTTGAATTTATTCATTCTCGTAGCTTGCTATCGTGGACTATTGTGTATCATTCTCTTCATGTTTCCTCTTTTTAAGTTTAGTCGGGTCTTACGTTTCTGTCTATATGCAGAGATTTTTACGCATGGTTTTACTTGCATGGAGTACTTCCCAGTAAAATCGTGCATATGAAGACTGCATATGAAAACTATTCAACTCTGTACTTCTTTATTAACTTATACATGCATTGCATTTTATCTTTATTTTAATTTTTTGACTGCCGGAGGTCTTCCACGGAAGTTGCTCTTAACTATGCGTTGGGGGCAGCCTACTACCCTATCTCTCGTTTACCACATTGTATATGGGAATAGGGTTTTGTTGTTGTTGTTATTGTTGTTACCTGCTCCTAGGACTGTAAATGAGACGAGACAGATCACGAGCTACTCGAGATCGACTCGATCAAGGCTCGATAAATACTCAGATCGAATGGACTCGACTCGAGCTCAAGCTCGATTGGAGTTCTTAACGAGCTGAAACGAGCTACTCGATATTCGACTTGAAAAGCTCGTGAGAAGCTCGAAAAAAATGTTATATTATAATTTTATATTTTTTAAAATTACATTATTAAAAATATATTAAAAATACATTATTGATAATTATGAAATTTAAAAATATATTAAAAATTATATAATACAACTAAACCATATTGTAATGCATAAACCATATTGTAATGCATTTAATATCAAGATATTATATTGTACTTACCTCATAAATCGGTACCAAGTCGATTAATTAATGTATTTGTAATGAATCCTAAACCCTAAACCCTAAGTTCAATTATATGATAGGGGTTAAGTTATGCACATGAATGTAACATACAAATTATGCAAAATGATATTATGTGTAACACCCCCAACCCGTACCCGACCCGGATACGAATCCGAGGTGTCACATTGACTTTTCAAAACTGGTACTTGTACAAACTAGTGAATAATTTTAAAACTTTTATTAAAACAACTGACTAGATTACATAAAAGATATTCATATGATTTTAGAAAAACTAATTAGAGTATATCAAATTCAAATCTTTATTTGCATGCCAACTACCATCCGTATTATAAAATACATATTATACAATGATTTTCTGATCTGATCTTTGGAAAGGAGGAACTGACATGTCTTGCTTAACTTTTCTCATTCTTCCTCTTCTTGGTACCTACGTGTGAAACAATCACTCGCTAAGTCGTTGACTTAGTGAGGCATATAAAACATATAATAGAAATCATAGTACATTTCATATATCAAAATACATACATGTACATATACCATCATTATCGAAATCTCTATTTATCATATGATCTTGTATTTATCATTTTTGTATATCATATAACACATTTATCATTTCACAACTAAACATACATAATATCATATATTTCATGAAACATATTCCATATCACCAAAAGCATATGCATCATATGTATTGAATTTGTTATTGTCTTTTTATTAGCCCATATACACCTGTGAGAACTTAAGGTATGTGAGTACATTGAGGTTGTGCACTAATGCTGTCACCACAGCTCGTATAAATTCCCTCATGGGGCACCGAACATTTGTTCAGTATTTGTCCCGAAGGACTATTATGTCCCGAAAGACCACTGGATACGTCCCGAATGACCACTGGATACGTCCCGAATGACCACTGGATACGTCCCGAATGACTAATATACCCTCGACTCTTGGCATGCCAACTATACCACTAGTTCTCATATCATATAACATGGGCATTATCATTTATACCTTTCATATCACTTGTTCTTTCTCTTCCGTCACATACCACATGTATGTGTAACTATATATTTCATATCATATCACATGTATCACAAGTGCATATATTCACGTAGATCATTTCATATGGCTTATATCATTCCTCATTTGTTCATGTAAACTCGCATGTAATATCTTGTTCACATATATTCATATATACATCACATAGCACATAGTATAACATATAAACTTATACAGGTATCCATATACATACTTTCATATACTTCGAATAACAATGCCCTATAACTTCTCACAATTTTACCTAATCACTTATTTCACATTAATTATATTCTAGTTTCATATATTACTTAATTCAATTTCACATAGCTTGTTACCTATATAAATATTTTCTCATAACTTATCATCACATAGTTCCTATAACATTTTCCTATAGCTTCATAAATCTTTACCATATGACTCATGTATTATATGTTCATTTCAACTTATAAATCTCTCCATATAACTTATTTTACATGTTCATATAATCACTTCTGTCAATGTCTCCTCATTTATATATTATTCTTATATTGTCCTATAAATCAATGTTATTTAATCTCATTTTTCATCTAATCTCATAAGTTGGTTATACCAATTCCTATATATATATATATATATAACTAACTCATGTAATTTATATCCTTTCTCTTGTTATCATATAAATCATTGCTATTTTACATAGTTCGTGATCCTATAGTTACTTATAATAGCATGTGTCTATCTTATCTCATATCATATAGTTCTTTAACTTATGTCTTAAATCACATATTTATTTTACATAACGTATATAATTACATCCACTACTTAAACCAGTTCACATAACTCATCACACTAACATTTATTCACTCAATTCATGTAACAGGTGCAATACATATAACATATGTACCCATTTTCATGTACTCATGCAAACATAAGAATCACAATTCAAATAACATTTTTAAAAGTCCCTTCTTACTATAGTAACTTCATCACTGGCTTATCGCAAGCCAATGTCTATTTGATGCATAAGTACAATTTAAATTGCACTCACCTTAGCCTTGCTTTGATTCGATTCTAATCCTTCGATTGTTCTGGAATGAGATTACGCTCTAAATCTACATAGTAATACATTGATACTTATCAGCATATGAATTGATATATTTCAAACTATAAATCTTTAGGCTAAAAGAAAGCTATTTCCATTTCTTATTGAAGGTATGCATCGATGCCCTACACCATGTATCGATGCATCCCTTGACAGGTGCATCGATGCACTACCCATGCATCGGTGCATAAATCTTATTCGATGTTTGTATTTTAAGCAGGAGCATCGATGCACTCCTTATGCATCAATGCAACCATGGCATTCGATGTTCATTTAATTTAAATGAGTGCATCGATGCACTCCTTATGCATTCAACAATTTCTGGGATTTAACCTTGATGCATCGATACACATTGAATGTGCATCGATGCACTCTGCCCAGAATCCTATTTTTAAACCCAAAAATTCATCCATTTTTGCTTAAATCATTCATGTTTCTTCCCCTTTTTCATTCTTAACTCCAGTACACACACTTAAACCAATTTGTACTCATTTATTTTATCTTAAACCTCAAAATCCTATCCTTCATATGAAATTCAAGAATTACCTTAATTTCACAACATGTGTTAATTCCACTTCTAACACTTCGTATGT